CCGGTCTTCTTCAGTTGGTTGGCATGTCGTACTGAACCCTTTATTACGCTTGCTGGAGTAGACTGTTCTAGTTAGACGTGTCATGTTTAATGGATGTCAGTTATCTCCTGTTAATTTCCCTCCGAAATTTCTCCACTGCCTTAGCCGGGTATTGAACTCACACTCTTTGGGTCCTGTCACTGGATCTAACTAACACCTTTATCTACTGTGCCATCTGTCCTTGAGGAAACGTTGTAATAAATATGGCGACCAAGATGAGGACAATAGTCCGAAGAATGTAAATAACGTACATAATACCTCATCTCAGAAACATAGACAGATACTGGAAACATTTTGTAAATATAAGGAATAGACTAATTTACCTGGATTTAAAAGATAGATTCAAGTTCTATACACTAAAAAAATTGAATAGAATAGTTATGGATTGTTTAATTAAAATAGATGTTTTTGCTTTCAGAAGTGTGAAGCCTGCCATGAAATGTTTCAATACAAACTGAGAGCTGAGTGAGTGGTCATCTGCGTCTTTGAAAACCAAGAATACGCTTGACACCGTCCATTGAACTCGGAAGGGTTTCTCCTTCAAGCGGCTGTTAAATAATTTCGTTCGGATCAATTATAATTTCGGGATGATATTCTTAATGACCAATCACTGCAATCAATGTCTTTCATATTGTCAAGACATTTAATAAGTTTTAATGGACAAAACATCAATTGTAACAAAACAGAAGGTTGTCAGCAGAAGGAACATTATAAGTTGCTAACTACGAATGGGAAGCGCTAAACGCAAGCAAGTATAAAAAATGCAAATATATAGGAAGTGCTTTAATAGAAGAGGACAATGCGACACCGAAATCTGAAGACAAAATTAGGATCGCAGAAGATGCCTTCCAAATGCCAAGTAACGTAAGGAGAAACAGAAAAAATCACTACAAACAAAGAAAAGTGAACTGCTATGTAATATCGGTCCAGGTAGAGCATCCTGACAAGTGTCTTGAGGCAACAGAAATGTTATTCTACAGAACGATAATAAAAAAAAATTACAAGGATTATATACGTGAGCAAATACAATGCTTTATGAAAAATGGAAAAAAAAAACAATTTAACAATTATACTCAGAATTAGAAATAGAGAGATAATTAAACACGCAATATGGGGAAAAAATCTTTGACACGCAGAGGGAAGATTTAAATCAAGTTTGAAAACAAAAAGTAGATAATAAAGTGGTGAAAAAATCTTAACAATAGGACGGAAAGTTGTGGAGAGCGATGATTTTGATGTTTTTCCCAAAATTTGCATCCCGATATAGAAGCTGATGCACAATATCTTATTTACTTCTCCAGGCATAACCAGTACTAACACTCGGCCTTTGACATATTATTTCCTTAACTAATTCCTATATAGTTCTACATTGGTATATTACACTTGCAACTGATATTAACCGCTGCTCTTTGCTGTTTACATCGAGGGCTGTAGAGGGAGAGTGGAGAAACGACGGTTTGCCGCCGAGGAGAAGTTTACACGACGGAAAGAAAACAAGGCGACATCGCATTCGTTGCAATCGGGACTGTCACTCTGGTGTAGGCCTGTACGGCCATAACTGATGCTGCACTGCCATTAGTAGCTGCGGCATAAACATTTAGGCGCATATCCAAGGTTTCCCTATATTAATAGATGCCACACCCAATTAGTAATCGAACTTAAATCCCGTTAAAGAAAGATCATTAGTAACTAGGAAATATTTACGGAAGTATTCTCTGTTGCAATGTATTCTGGACAAGTGAGAAAAAATAGTCAGCAGAAATATGGTTCCTGGGAAGATCTCTGTGAATACCATCGACTGAACATGTGAGCAACGAAGAATTTTTAAGAGAAAAGTAGATGAAAAAAACATTTATGCTTAAAATCTGAAAGAGACAGTGGAAATTTTCAAGAGACACCAGAGGTTTTAGAAAATTTTACCCAAAGAAGACAGATTGAAGACAATCTGGAATGCAAGAAAAAGTGAGAAGACATTTTTAATTACTTTGCTCCAAGTAAGGCGATAATGCCACTAAGACGCAAAGGGATACTGGGCGCGAAAGGGAATGAAAAGATTTTAGAATGAACTAGAAACCCGACCCTAAACAAGGAACAAGAGATAAACCTATATTCTTGTTGAAATATCCGAGGAGGTGTGTGAAATTGATGATAATCAAACCTACCTACTACTATTGAAGGAACAAATGAATAAATATAATTTCAGAGATCAGATGGAAACATTCAAAGTTTTGAGTTGAAGTAGAGTTTCGAAGGAACCTGTAACCCGATCCTAAATAGGAAACAAAGGACAAACCTCTACTCCTGTTCAAAAGACCAGGGATAAGTGTGACCCGGACGATTAGCAAACCTACTACTTCTGCTTAACCAGCCTAAGAATATTTTTTGTAAGTGGGAGATAAAACTGATTTGGAAAGAATGGTGAAAGAATAACCGTTACTTACAGCTAAAAAGTTTATACCTTTTTGGAAAGCCATATTTGTCCACGTCACACGGAGGAAAAACAGAAACCGAGGAACAACGGCTTCTTTCTCGAATCGATACATGTTGCTGCCACGTGATATTTGATAATGCTCTTATTAGACGAATTTTTGTATCAGTAATAGATCGAAAAAACATGTTGGAAAGCAGAAAAATACACAACCTCATCTGTGGTAATGAATTATCAATTGTATAGGTTACTGAGTTGGGCACCTGGGGGCGGTTTAGTGGTTAGCAAGCTAGTCTCGCTAGAACAGTTACCACTAAGTAGTGAGTTCGATTCTCACTTGGTGCCCCATTCTTTCGGCTTGTGCCACATGTAAGCTTCGCTTGGAAAATCACTATGTTACGACTGAAAAGAGAATTCGATCATCACTTGTTGCCCCACACTTTCGGCCTTGTGCTACATCTAAGCTAAGCTTAGAAAATCGATACAGGTTACTGAGTTTGTGTCTGGATTTCGGAGCGAGCGGGGTTACCATTATTTACATTATTTATATTCGGACTATTGAATCAGGGTATATACTAGACAGTGAAGACAAAATTAGTAAGTCTAATATTGAATTAAAAAAAACGCGGGTCCCCTAATAAAGAAAGAATGAAAATCAAAAGAAAATATTCAACCGCAACAGTAGCAATGAAAACATGACAGGCAACAACAGCAGTTTAATCAGCAGGAAGCTTTGGTTTAAGTCTCCAAGCAAATTGTGCTACGGGAAAATTAGCGAGTAGATCAAAGCGTTAGTTTGCGAACATTCGGTTACATAGACCCTTGTGCAAATTAATTGAAACAACCGCTTTATTTTTCACCATACAGTCAGTTTTAGACCTACTGGAGTGTCAAGGTGTAATCGATTTCTATTTTTTACTCACATTAGGTCACTTGCAGTGGTGTGCAGTAATATGAATCTATTTTCGGAGTGTACGATGAAATTTGTTTGGCTCTGAAAAATATTGCGTCCTCTTTGATTGCATTAGATTTCATCATGCCCAGACACTATTGTCTCGACTGTCGATTAGTTGTTTTACGGCCATTTTCTGCGATAGGCGTTACTGCAAGGAAGCGTACGAAAATTGTAACACTTGCCCGACTACACTGGCAAGCCTTACCAGTGAGCAAATCAACGTACTATAGACTGCCCCGGAAACTCTCCTGATAAATCGGTGGTCAATCTGCAAGGACTTCGTAGATTGAACATAAGAAGTACTAACATGTGTACTGTGTAATATTTCATTGGTAAAATATGAAAAAAATTATATAGTAACGGAATTATTCGTTTTGTTTCAATTAAATTGCACAAGGGCATTATTATTACCAGTTCAATCCCTGCGTCGGGCAGTGTGTATTTTCATTCAGTGGAAAAAGGCGAGATAAAAAAAATACTAATCAAAACTAAGAACTAGACGAAATCCCTAGATATGAGCAGAGGAACGAGAGCACTATCCTCGTGGATTAAATAAAGGGTTAATTTCACAATTCCCTGTAGGTTACCCAGCTTGATATTCACCCGAGGAAGGGAAAACGGGGGAAAGGTTGTGATAAAATGATGAAGACAATTGTCTGAATATAAATAATGTAGATAAGGTTACCTGATGTTTTCGTGTGTCTCACTTGACTTCAGTATGCCTAGTAATTGTAAAATATTCCAAAACTTCTTTCCTCATATCCTAGAAATTATTACAATCTTTTATGATTCTAAATATGAGTACTTTCAACTTTCAGATTACTTAAAACGTCTTCATTACTTAGATATTTCTATCATTGTATTTACAGCATTCTTTGTTGCCTTAAGACTCCATCTCTGGGGAAATTGCCCAGTATTCACTGCCATAGAGGAGGACTGATATTACAGTTTAATTCTCTTTACGTTTTCTCAAATTAAATATACCTGTTTCTTAATACATAGATTTTGGAAGTTATCTTTCGTTTTTCTAATAAACCTTACGATTTCGGTGTAATATTTTCAGTTCTCTCTTAAAGCAATCCCCAGATATTTAACTTTTAGTTTTTGCTTGATTCTGACATCTTCATTTGATGGTTTACGTCTTGGACTTATTCTGCTGCTAGGAGCAATATATTACTTTCTATTCCAATTGATGTTTATCCTTTCTTCTCGCATTCCTTGTCTATAGAAATTCCTGAAGTTGCTTTTTATGTCTGCCATCAACAAGATGTAATCTGTATAAATTGTGACAGGAATACGTATTTCTTTTAAGAATGCCTCGCTGGAAAATATTATTAAATCCTGTGAGAATACAGATCTTGTCGTTCCAATCTATTAATAGCTATAATTAATAATTAACTAACTGACAGACTATTAATTTTCTGAGTGTGAAAGCTTTGTATGAAAGCAGTTGGATACCAAATAAATCTTAGCTCCGAAAAGAGAAGAATTTAAGCCTGGTTGATGGCTTGATATATTATGTATAATAACAAGAGCTTACAATGAGATTTAATAAAACTGTAGAAATAAATAATACTTTCAAGGAAAAATGGTTCTCGGATTTCCCGTCATAGCGTGGTATGAGCTTTTCTGTTCATATGTAAAGCATGATAAAATAAAGAATGGCAGAACTTTTAAAGAAAATGTAACAGACGAATGAATAACAAGGAAGAAAAAGATGTTGAAAATAGCGACAATAGAAAGAAAGTGTGAGTGAAGAGAAAAAAGAGAAAAGGAAAGAGAAATAAACAAAGGAAACTGAAGTGAAAGGATGAAGAGAACACAGTGAAAATAAAAGAAATTAAACCACAGACAATTAAGTTGAATAAAAAAGAAATCCAAGGAAAAAAAAGAAAAAGAAACGTAGACGAATACAACAAAAAAAAAATAAAGAAAAAAAGCGAAAAGTAAGAAATGAAAGAATATAAAGAAAAATGCTGAAAACAGTGACAAAAACGAGTAACAATCGTAGCAATGTTAACGGTAATGTTAATATTAGCTGTTCTTTTATGTGGAAAATTTCGGCAGTCATTGTCCAAGTAGCCTATACTATAGTCGGATGAAATTTATAAACTCTTCCTATTAAAACAATTTTCCGAAAAATAATTTTCTTAATTGTAGTAGCTGTCATCGTACGTCCCAGTATTGACAGGAGATTCCTTCCTAACATTTTGTTTGATGTTGTGTGGATTGCCAACATCTTAGTTATGTCATTATTTTTTCTTCGAGTAAGATGTGATATATTTTGCAAATCTTGATTCTGTTGAAAGTCCGGAAGTGATGATTTCTGTTATGCTGTGATTCTGTAACGTCAATCTTCAATATTTGTAGAAGGAAAGTCTTTGTCAAGATACACGGGCTTCTTTTTATCAAAAGCATTTCTAACGGTCTGTCTGAGAAAGCGGTTGTATACTGTTGATAGTCTTTTATGTTCAATTTCCTCATCTCTTATACTAATTTTATTATAACGTTTGTGGTGTCCTCCCTCTAAATAGGCTATGTTGGACTCTTCCGACTACTATAAGATTAGTAGGAGAGAAGGCCTTAGGGGAACAGTCGAATAGATCGTTCAACTGTCCAACTCTCAGCCTCGGCAGAGAAGAACTCGGACAAAGCTTTGCCGCAGTGCAAAGTTTCGTCCGGGGAGGGAGACAGGCCCTGAACCCGTCTAGGCGGGTTCAAAGGGAATATTTTTGGCCGAGACTACGGGCTCGGAAAAACCCACGTTAAACTCGGCCTTGTGTCACATACATTCCTTGTGGGGGGGACTGTTAAGTATAACAGTCGGATAGATTGTTCAAATGTCTGTTTATTGTAAACAGAGCATTAACTTAAATATTTATATATATATATAAATAACGTATAATAATAAAGCGTATTAAAAACAAAGAATATATGTTGTAACAAAAGAAAGAAATGGCCTACAAAAAAGAAATAAAAGTAAAGAATAATAAAAATAAAGAGAATAGAAGAAAAAAGCATAGCTGAATACAATGGCTAGATAGGAACAACGGCAACGAGTTAAAGAAGAAGAAAAAGAAAAAAAAACAAAGGTAAACGTAGGCTCGAGAGACGTCATGTAAAATAACTAAATGAGTACGAGAAAACAAAAAGAAGAGGACTTGAAGACAATAAGGAGAGGAAAAAGACGAAAAAGAGAATAAACGGAAACACGAAGACGACGAGAGACGAAAAGGATGCTGAAGAAGAAAATAAAAGAATAAGAGTAGAAATATTAGCAGTAGCATTAATAAAAGCCACTTCCTTTCAGAATCCCATAAATGTACAATAGTCATATCATCCATTGCACGACTTCAGTTGATATCTTCCCGCCCTTGAAGCAAACAGAGTAACGACGCAATACCGGAAATATAACAGATACAAAATGGCAGTGGAAAGCGGCAACGTCAACCTCACCCCACCACAGCCGCAGGATATCAATGCAGGAAATATTGACAAAAAATTTTCAAGCACACATTCAGCAGGAAATCCGAAATTGAAAATATTTTTTATGAATGTTTTTATAGCTTAATTTTTTTTTCCAGCATTTTTTTCCATTGAAGGCAAAGGCAATATTTTAATTACATAACAGTTATATATGTTCTTTCTTGTTTGACATACAAAGCAGCTTGCTTTGTGGCCCGATATCCACAGACTCTATAAATAAAGAAAAAATATACGAGATTCGAGATTCATCGTTTGGTTATATATATATATATATATATATATATATATATATATATATATATATATTCTTACTTTCTGTGGAACACGACAGATCTTGCTAACTAGACTAAGCCAACCTTACGTTAAAAAAGTCGTATCTCTAAAAAAATAGGCTCATACTATCTATCGGTATTCCTGTTATTATTATTATTATTATTATAGTCGTGTCCCTTCAGGATATGGGCGATTATGGCTTTCCACAACTTCCTCAATTTGGTAGCGCTTAGCAATATTTGTCTTTTTAATATCCACTAGCCTCTATGTTCTGGTATTCCTTTTGCATAAACCCCTAGATAGATCATTTGCTGTTTCTTCATTTGTTTCTCTTATGTCCTGTGTTAATTTTTCAAAGCATTTGTTCCTCATTATTTGCTGCAGAAATTTCAGCGGCGTCTTTCTCATTCTAATTATAGTTCTGTTTCTATTTTCGTCAAACTTCCTCGTTACGCACATATTCTGTCCATGGTATTCACATAAATGATTAATTGATTCGTTTTTTTACGCCTTATTAACCGATTGCATGTTGTTTAAAGACAGAAAATATTTTTAGATTGCAAGCATTTTTTTTAAATTAATAATGATTTGGTGATACAAGTCTTACTCATTAATCCATAGGTGGGGGAGATAGATAAATCCATACCTTCACAAGGGATTGTGCACGTAAGTGGATACCAAACTGAAATTGGAACTCGGCTTTCCAATTACTGATTCCCAGTCGTTATCCGTTGCACCACCCGCACATTGAAGATGATAGAACATGGTATTCACACGAGGTCACCCATCTAAGTACCTGACCACACTGGACGTTGCTGCTTAACTCTGGTGATCTACGTGAATCGGTGTTTCAAGGTGATATGGACGTAATTCAGGGTATTTTCAGAATCCTTCTGTTGCCACTGTTGGCTCCTATACATCTGTAAGGAAATTCCCCAGTGTTCATTAGCATAGAGGAGGTCAGATGTTACATAGCGGTTACTCACTGTTTCTTAATACTTTACATTTATTGAATTTTATATGATTTTCATGTTTACTTTATATGATTTAACAGCAGACTGGCGTATATAAAATGGGAAGCGATCTTTAAGAGATGAAGTTCAGTATTCATTGAGCTTAATTTGGTAAAATTAAAGTCATGAAGCCTTCAGTGAATACTGAACTCCCGACGTTGCTGATCGTTTGTGAAAGAGACACTTTATCATTTGTCACGGTCATTGATTTCATTTACTTCAGTGTTTATATCATGGAACCAGGATCAATTCTTGAAGAAAGCGTTTCCATATGTGTCACGCCTCTGATCATCCTACAATAGACATTGCAATCAATGACACAATATTAGGTCATCTTGGAAGCCAGGTTAATCACATCGCCTCCGAGTACAAGTCAACGTGAATAGAAAAGAGATGTATCGCAGAGAAAAATGTAATGTCCACGTTTTGATAAGGGCCAGGGACCCCGGACACACGCACATGGGCTGAATGTAACTGATAAAGGCAGGAGTCAAATAAACTGCAATTCAGACGCGTGCTTGTATTTGAAATGTAGGCAGTTATTTCATTACAGTATTTAGAAAATAATCTAATAATAATGATTGAGTATTACTAAATAGCAAATGTCACAAGATGAAAGTTATTTTATTGTAAATAAATCAGATTCTTTCTTAGGGGTCCCCAACATTTTTGCGCCATGGCTCTCCGCCGACCTATATAGTAAAGATTCAAAATCCATCTTAAAATTATTTGGAAATCTTTGTACTTGTTTTATGTGCCACGTCCCTTCTGCAAGTAGACAATGATAGGTCGCCACAATTTCCTGTCCTTTGTAAGTCCTTGTTACTGATTCTTAAACTGACTTTATGATGTAGTAAAATATCAAAGGGAGGTAACAAATACCACTAATTTATGCGGCGTTGTTACTGCTACCGTATTAATGAACAGACGAAAACACACTTGACCATTGAAAAATTAATATATAATTTAGTTTTACAGTCAAGCTTAGATTTATGTTAGTGTCACCGTTGCATGTGTTGATAAAAAAAAAGTAACCGATTATTATTCATAATTATAAAATTAAAAAGAATCTACTCTATTAGTAACTAATAAAAATTCAGACATTAATCTTTTGTTCGTCTTTGTTTTCACTTATCTGATTAAATCCCAAAAGATGTTATTTCGTCTGAAGAAGCATTGGAATGTTAATGACCCTTCTTAAAATTATAGAAAATACGAAAATATTTATTGTTTGCATGGATATTTATATCTTATCTAGGAAGGTCTCCCCCTTATTCGCATTTACCCTTTTTATACAGATTCTTTGCATATTTCCTTTAATATTATTTTAGGGTAGAATATGTTGACATTCTTTTTTAAGACCAAATTTCTCAATCACCCAATATTTTCTGTTCATTTACTCATCACCCACCCAACAGTTGAAATCACCCACCCATCGCCCAGATAAGAGTAACACTGTTCTGTATTAGCATTATTTTAACAGCGTTTTGTTTTCATCAACACTATTTTGACGTCCTTCAGATCATATCATAATTTCATCGGCCAGTAACGAAAATAGCTGTAATTAAGTTTTGCAAAACATCTTTTTTTTTTTCAATGAACCGTGTTCCTTCAGAAGGTGGACGATCTTTGTAGCCCTTAGTAAATTTTCTCTTTTCACTATTTCTTCTTTTTCCTCTTCTGCCAACCATGTACAAAACCTCTTCACGTACGTTATGCGCTGCTTTTCTCTGTCTCTCTTGCATTCAATATGTCTTGCGAGTGTCAAAGTTTCTAAACACTCTTTCCTCATTATGTGCCCTAGAAATGGGTGCTATCTGGGTCTAAGTATAAGTTTTCATTCGTTTCTATCTTCTCTCAAACGTTTCATTGGTAATATGTTCAGTTCATTGTCTTCTCAGTATCGTTCTTTTGCGTCAAGTCTCTTCCTGCATGATGACATTGTTCAGCCTTTACTGCCATCTAGGAGGTCCGATATGTCATCAAAGTTAATAAATCTTTTCTTTCTTTCTAACAATATTTTACTGTCTCTTAATAATTATCTTTGCTTTTGTAGGAGCAATTTATCTAACCCAGTATGTGCTCGGATTTTTCGACCTCTGTTAAATTGCTAGATATTTAAATTGTTCTACTTGTTAGATTTCGGCACGTCCAGTTTGTATTTCGCATGTTGGGATCTTCTTTTTAGTGACAACCATGTATTCTGTCTTCTTGCAATTGATGTTTAATCTTTTCTCCTCGCTTTGATTTACAACCTTCTGTGAAAGTCCTTGTATTTTCCAATTCTCTGTCTGCTATTAACACTTTCTCATCTGCAAATCTTATGTTGTTAAGATTCTGACCGCCAATAATAAATCCTGGGAGTAATTCTAATTGTCACCTCATTATATAGGTTAAATAAACACATCATTCTCTTGAAAACCTTTCTATTTTTCTATATTTACTGCAATCTTTTCCATGTCCCTATGAAGTTTGTTTGCTTCCAATATAAATTCTATAGTTAATTTATTTTCCATTAAATCTTTCCCCGGAGAAGGGAACACATATTAATCGTAAGGTGCTATATCTGAGGAATACGACGAATACATGAACTCTCCCCCACCAAATAAAAATCTATAATTTTAGCACGATGGATTAAGATTTCATTTCTTTAACTATTGTGAAAGGATGTTGGTCCGAGACTGAACAAAGTCTCCAGTCATGACACGTACCCGCTTATTCAACATATTTCCATCGCAGGTGAACACAGTTGGCACATCTTTTCAAAACTCCAATTGAAACATTTCCATAACAGGAAACATTCATGAGATATTCAAAGAAAAATTACTGAACGGTTACGTAATATCAGCTTAACTACGTGGCAGAAAAAAAACTACTGACAGATAGAGGAGAGGCGTGAGGACACGGAAACGTGATTCTACAGAGGGATGCTGGGAATACAGTGGCTGAAAATGTAAGCAACGATGAAATATTGGAGAAGATGGAAAGAAAGAGGACACTTATACTTAACATCAGAAAGATATAATTAAAATTCCTAGGACACATAAAGAGGAAAGAGGTTTGGAAAATATGACACTCACCGAATATATTAAAGGCGAGAGGGACAGAGGAAACACACGATTAATCTACATAAGGAGTTTGTATTAATGGATGGGAGGACTGGGTTTAGGAGAGATAAGGAAAAGACAGGATTTATTAAGGGCTACAAAGAACAGGACATTGTACAGAGCCATGGTTGTAAACATCAAGAAGGGATATGATACAGAAAAGAAGACTGATAAAATATACCGATATTGGAATGAAATTCAGGCGTTAAGTTTTTCACTGACATCTTCTAAATTCTTTTTTCTTATTACCTGGCACGTTACTGTTCTTCATCTTTTAATGGTAACACTATGCCATATCTTGATGCATCAAGTACAGACTTGTGGGCTATTCGTTTTACACAAACAGATGTACAACAACAACTATACTAAAACAAAAAAAAACTACGACTACTATTATTAATAATAATA